ACCATTATAACACATTTTCATCTCATCATTTAAATTCTGTTGTGCATATATTGTTGTATAGAAGATATTTTAAAGTGATTCATCAGGTGGAAAACGAATACAGATAAACTGATATGTGGCGCCATCTAGCGTACCTAAATTCATCTAGAAATTTTCATAAAAGTGACCCGAAAGACGGGGCTAACTCAGTAACCTGTAGCCCAATTTGAACAAAACTTGTTTTATTCTGTTTCTCTTCTCATTTTACTACAAGTATGATGTTAATGAGCGTCGTTTTTAATTATAGACGAGCACACAATCTCAAGAGTTTTAGCAGTACATAGATATTTTTGTGTGCCAGCAATACCAATCATGGGGCATATATATACCTGATTAAATTTTATTACTTATCAGGATCTCTACCAGTCAACCCTCAAATTGAAATTCTTTTAGTCAGGATTAGAGTAAATTAATCTATGAGACCATGTGCATAGTCAAATACACCAAGTGGAAGGGTTTGACCTCCTGAGTCCAAAACTGTAATTAGATCTCAAATTGGTCAAGAGATGACAGAGCTATGAGCTAAAAGTTTGCACTTAGAAAAAAAAAAAAAAACAACTCAGAACCATTCTATGAGCTGCTATGCCATGGCTAAAAAAGTAAAGAAAAGTAATGTATGAGGAAAAAATATGGAAAAAAGAAATTGTATTTTAGGAGCTTACACTGAGGGTGTGAAAAAAACTTGCATTTTTTTAAAGGATATTTACCATTGTGATAGTAATTAGAAGTATTTTTTGGTACAAAAGTGGAATCTCAAATTGCAAAATCGTAAGAAATTATATATCAGAACATATCAATCTAATGTTTAACAACAATCCACACTGTGAAAACAATACAAAACCAATCTTAGAGTCTAATGATAGGTAGTTTGGATTTTAAACACATCAACTAGAGATGGACAATTAGTGGAATTTGTTAATCAGTTATATTCACACAAGAGACTAATCTTCCTATTTTTAGCTTTTTCTGAATTATCTTTTACCTAAGCTTCACTTAATATGATAGACATTTTCAGGTACAACAACTTAAGATTAAGTTTGAGACTAAAATATGTAGATTTTGCAACAAAAAAAAATCATAATAATAAAAAATGTTCATTGTGGTAAACGAAATAAAAATTTGATCCAAATAAGTGTTTTTTTCTTACTGATTTTTAAAAAATCCTTATGCAATAGAAAAAAATGAATATTATTTTCGAAATCCATGTAACTAAATTATGGAAAATCCGTTATTACAACCAAAACAACTTTTATGAAGTTTAAATTTGCAGGCCTGTGTAATTACATTTATTTATCTAATGGCTATATCTTCTAACCTTTTCACATCTACTTTCATTTACTTTTATTGTAATCTAACCCTCTCTCAGTACCTGAGAAGCAATGAAACTTCAGTGGAAAAATTAAGGGTAAGAAAATGAATCAAGTTACATCACAACTTCAAACCACATTATTTCTACAAGTGAGTGATATAGATAAATTATTTTGTTTCATTTTTGTTATCTAACCTAACAAGTTTCTAATTTTTTGTGAAAAGATTTATAATAATAAAAAATATACATAAAAACAATAGATTTCGCACTTTGAGGCCTTTTCGTACTTTGTGACCCTACTTTTTGTTCACTATGTTGGTTGTCCAATGTATAATTCATGTAGCTTTTTTACATAAGCAAATTAGAACACAAAAAACATATCAGGCTCTTCTAGGAGTAGAATGTCACAAACTGTTATAATTTATCTAACTTTCTACCTAAGCAACAAATAGGTTAAAAAATTCCATTACTGATCAGAGCAGTAACTGTTCAACACATATGATGCTTTTCTTGGAAGTGTAACCATCAAATCTAAGCTGATGAACGAAAGGGGCCGGTTCATTTAAGTTTGCACTTTCTTTTGGTTAAAACATGTCCTCCAAATAAGGATACATGGTTTAGATACATTCATTCAAAGCCATGACAGGTGGGTGGAGTTCACTGGTGAGTTGAACAAACTTATTTATATCTCAGCAAACCAAGAATGTAGGAGGTTCAGGTTTTATATTCACACATACAAATATCTATAATTTCTGTTGTCTAATTCAAGGGTCTCCAAACCTTTTTGGACAAGGGTTGTGAGGTAGAGCTTTTTAGGCTTCGCAGGTGGGAGGGGTCGTGGTAAAATTATGTAGGAATGCAAACATGATCAGATTGGCTTTTGCTAAATTACATTTTATTTTTTGTTTTTATAATATCAAAAAATTATATTATTACTTTAATAAACTGTTGGCGGGCCAGATAAAATGAAGTCGTGGGCCAGATGTGACCCGTGGGCCGTAGTTTGGAGACCCCTGGTCTAATTGATTGCATACTCTGAAAGCCACATAAGGGATCAAAAAAGGATAAACCAGAGGTAAGTCACATTACAGAGAAGTGAAGATTGAGAATGTATTTAAGTATTTCTTTTTGAAACTAAAACTTAGATAATATAAAACTCTGAATTATAAAATACATTTCAATGCCAAGTTTACTGACATACAGTCATAAAAAATGTTAATCAAATTTTGAATATAACCCACCCATACATAGAGGATTAAGGAGAAAAGCCTGGGGACCATCATAGAGATTGGATTGCGTAATTGCTATAAGCATTTGTTTACTTACATAGTTAACACATATGAGAAATAAAAAATAATACAATAGATATTAGCTCTAACTGGTTCCTCTGTTTTGTTTTACTTTACTGCAACAATTTCAAATGTTTTTTTCATAGTTTTGCCTACTTAATTTTCACCACTAATTATTATCTTGTATGCTGATTTTAGTACAAGGTAATTTTCTTATTTAATTTTGTCCTTTCAATTAAATTTATTAATATTTAGACAAGTGCATTAATATGAAATTTTTATATCGTATGTTGGTATGAAACAAACATTTCACTAAGCTTTATTCTTACCCAAAATCTCAATATATTTTTTATATATATGTACCTCCTAATATATATATGTCCTAATGTCTTTTCCCTTTCGAATGTTATTATATGACATTCCATCATCTTGTGTAGGTATATTCTACTGTATTACTATGTTCTTTTCTGTAACAACAGTAAACAGTTGAGTATTAATAAAGTTTTTCTTAGAGATTCTGTGGCCATAATAGTATCTAATCTCCAGTCTGCATTTAAACATGTAATACTTTTTGTTATGATGAGTAATAGGATGGTTTACTAAGAATAAACTTACTATCGTAGACACTAGCATCAGTAATATCCCTGACTGCTGCAGCTTCAACTATGTTTCTGATTACAAATTTCTTAATAGCCTTGTCTTTCGGGACACATCGAGCACAGTTAGTACACCTCACAGGCTTCACGTGCCCACGGCCATGTTTGCTTCTTCCATTATTACGTCTTTTAGAAGTCTGTAAAGAAATTACCTAACTTAATTACATTCTATAGGACATGTTTGACTTCATTTTTCTATATTTTGCTGTAATATTTAAGACTCAACCAATACTTGTAGCCGCTAGCACACAACAACTTAATACACTAACGTTTTATAAACTTTGAACTTCTAATCCATTTTGTATTGGAAGTTCAAAGAGATTTAAATGATTAATACATAATAACAAATCAAGTCATCATTAACAATAGGTTAATGTAAACAAAAAAAAGACTGACAACTTAGAAAAATTTAGAAATACAAAAATACAAAGCTCATCACAAGAACTCATAGTTATGTTCTAGTGAGCAACAGAATAAACACTGGTAGTTGGGTTCATAAAACATAGACATGTTCTAGTAAACAACAAAATAAACACTGTTAGTTGAGATTACAAAACATAGATATGTTCTAGTGAACAACAGAATAAACACTGGTAGTTGAGATTACAAAACATAGATATGTTCTAGTGAACAACAGAATAAACACTGGTAGTTGAGATTACAAAACATAGATATGTTCTAGTGAACAACAGAATAAACACTGGTAGTTGAGATTACAAAACATAGATACATTCTAGTGAACAACAGAATAAACACTGGTAGTTGAGATTACAAAACATAGATACATTCTAGTGAACAACAGAATAAACACTGGTAGTTGGGTTCATAAAACATAGATATGTTCTAGTAAACAACAAAATAAACACTGGTAGTTGAGATTATAAAACATAGATATGTTCTAGTGAACAACAGAATAAACACTGGTAGTTGAGATTATAAAACATAGTTATGTTCTAGTGAACAACAGAATAAACACTGGTAGTTGAGATTATAAAACATAGATATGTTCTAGTGAACAACAGAATAAACACTGGTAGTTGAGATTACAAAACATAGATATGTTCTAGTGAACAACAGAATAAACACTGGTAGTTGGGTTTATAAAACATGGTTATGTTCTAGTGAACAACAGAATAAACACTGGTAGTTGGGTTTACAAAACATAGTTGTGTGTTTAGTAAACAACAGAATAAACACTGGTAGTTGAGATTATAAAACATAGATATGTTCTAGTGAACAACACAATAAACACTGGTAGTTGAGATTATAAAACATAGATACATTCTAGTGAACAACAGAATAAACACTGGTAGTTGAGATTATAAAACATAGATACATTCTAGTGAACAACAGAATAAACACTGGAAGATGGGTTTAAAAACATAGTTACGTTCTAGTGAACAACAGAATAAACAGTGGTAGTTGGGTTTATAAAACATAGTTGTGTGTTTAGTAAACAACAGAATAAACACTGGTAGTTGAGATTATAAAACATAGATATGTTCTAGTGAACAACACAATAAACACTGGTAGTTGAGATTATAAAACATAGTTACGTTCTAGTAAGTAACAATAAAGACTGGAAGATGGGTTTATAAAACATAGTTACGTTCTAGTAAGTAACAATAAACACTGGAAGATGGGTTTATAAAACATGGTTATGACCTAGTGAGTAAAAGTAATGATAGTTGAGATTATAAAGTAAGTGTAACAGTCAACAATAGTTCTTTGTAATTTCATTTACAATAATTGTTCTGAAACAAGTGTATTGTTATCAGCAGTAACCCATTACAGAATTAAAAACCATGTAATTGTTATAAACTAAGAATGCTATAGAACTATTTTCATTCATAATTTGTGAAACACATTATGCTAGCATTAAATAGTTACTTAATTTTGTACCCACAAACCTAGCTCTATGTTGATTTCTAGTGATAGCCCTTTCTGGGTAAAATTTTAGATTTCAAAAGGAGAGTGCCAAAAATAGTAAAATACTGTAATCACACAAATCTGGGAGAGGAAATGTTCAAAAACACTTTACATTTTAAAATTTAGCATTATTTGTCTTCTGACAAGGCACAGACATTCTTTGACTTAATGGAGGATAAAAAGTGCAAACTTTTATGTAGTAGTTCTGGCATATTTTGGAGGGCCTTCTACACTGAAGAATCCTACAAAACTTCATAACAATAAGACAGAATTGAAAATTTCCAGAGACTGAAAATCATCAGCATAATGACTTTCTCGAGTCGAGGTTTATGCAACTTTAACTGCATGAAATGGGCCTACATTAATTACATCTAATTCATTAAAAATTGGGTATAAGTTACTTTATTATATGAACATTAAAAGCCACCCATAAAGTTGTAAGTGTGTAACTAAGTATGGTGGTTAAGGCAGAAGCTTCCATGTAACCAGTCCTAAAACTTGTTACTTGTAGTACATCTAACAAGATTTCTGTTTTACAAGATTACTGAAATCTGCATTATGAAGAATGATGTAGGTTATATTGAAAAAATACAAACACCTATCTTGACAGCCAACATAAACACCTATCTTGACAACCAACACAAACACCTATCTTGACAACCAACACAAACACCTTCTTGACAACTAACACAAACACCTATCTTGACAGTCAACACAAACACCTTCTTGACAATTAACACACAAACCTCTGGACAATTAACACAAACACACTTGTCTTGACTATTAACACATACACACACCTGTCTTGACACTTAACACACCCACCCACCAATCTTAACAACTAACATACACATCTATCTTGACAATTAATACACACACACACACACACCTATCTTGACAATTAATACACACACACATGTATCTTAGCTCGTTTTAAATTACTGTATTCTTGTTTTAATGAGAAGTAGAAAATGTGATTTAGTAAAAAAATTTTTAGTGCAAGAGTTAACTATTTCAACTGAAATATTCCTTTATGCTATTTTACTTTTGTGGTTTTGTTACTGTACTAGAAACAAAACTACAATAGTAAAATAGTTAACTCTTGCACCAATAATTTATTTTTCACTGTTAACGTAGAAGAGTTCCATATCAATTGTACTACTCAAAAACAATTGTAAAAAATAAATACAACTTAAACAAATCAATGTCAAAAACAGAATAAACTGAGATACCTAAAATAAAGGCTACATTATTTGAGTGTTAAGTAAAAAAACATGCAATAAAATAAAAATATAAGGAATAAAAAACAAACATTAAACAAAGAACTAGTGAAAAAAATTCAATAGACAAACAGTGAAAAAATTATGCTGTTGTGAAAAAAACAAACACCTGCAAACATTCAAAAATATGAAAACCTAAATAAAAATACCAAACATCTATGAATGACAAAAAATATTGAAAAGAAAACTTACTATATGTCACTAACAATCAAATACAAAATATTCATGGAAATTCACAGAAATTTCATGCACAATGAAAAAGGTTGTTTTTACAGAAAGAGTTCTGATGGTAGACTAGATTTCTACTATTTTAATGCTAGACGTATAAGAAATAAAATGGATGACTTCAGAGTACTGGTCAAAATGGAGGATTTTGTAAAAATGGGAATAGCTGAAACTTTGATGAAAGGAATTTCTTTGAAATACAAGGTTATAGGTTAATAAATAGAGATAGTACTAAAGAGAAAGAGGGAGAAGTGGTTTTTTTTTATGCAAAATATGAGTTACATCCTGTTACAATTGATGATATTAACAACAAATACAATGAGAAACTCCACAAAAAGATTAAGATTTCAAATGTTAATGATTTGTTTGTTTTTGAATTTCGCGCAAAGCTACACGAGGGCTATCTGCGCTAGCCATCCCTAATTTAGCAGTGTAAGACTAGAGGGAAGGCAGCTAGTCATCACTACCCACCGCCAACTCTTGGGCTACTCTTTTACCAAAGAATAGTGGGATTGACCGTCACATTATAACGCCCCCACGGCTGAAAGGGCGAGCATGTTTGGTGTGACGGGGATTCGAACCCACGACCCTCGGATTGCGAGTTGAGCGCCCTAACCACCTGGACATGCTGGGCCCAATTGTTAATGAGGTCATAATTATGTGGGATTTTAATTTTAGTCATGTAAACTGGGAAATGTTAAAGTCAGATGATGGTGACAGGTTTTTTTAAAAACTGTTCAGGATGATTTTCATCATCAATTGGTCAGGAAACCTACTAGGAACAACATTATTTGACATTTACTATTAACTTCTAATATAGAAATGTCCGAGAAGGTAAAAATTGTGGAACAACTGTGTGCAAATAATCACTACAATATTAGGTCAATTGTTTTAAAGCATATGAAGATCAGGAATAATGAGATTTTGGTTACAAGTTTCAAAATATAAAAAATTTGACGGGATGCAACAAGAATTATCTGCTGTGAATTGAGCAACTGTATTAAATGGAGACACTGATCAAATATGGAAAAATTTTTTAATTAAATTTTTAAATATTCTAGACAGACTTGTTCCTTATAGAAAAAATTGGATTTCTACTTATAAAAAAAACCAAAAAAAAACAGGTTTGTTCATGAAAGGTATGAGAGATAAAATTAAAGGAAAGCATCAGAAATGAAAAATAATTCTGAGCTTGGTAAAAAAAAAAATTTAAAGAATGATAAGGCTCCTAAGCTAAATAATATTTCCCCAAGGATTTTGAAAGAGCTAAGAATTGTTAATATTTTTTGAACATCCTAGGTGCCAGAATAAATGAAAGTTGGCTAATGTTACTCCTCTTTTCCAGGAATGTGATAAAAATTGTCCCAGTAATTACAGGCCTATTAGTTTTACACCAGTTGTGGGAAAAGTTTTTAAAAGTTTGGTAAAAGATGCTTTGCAAAGTCATTTATAAAAGTTTAAAATTTTTGTTGAATAGTCAATATGATTCGATTAGGGGAAAATCTAAGAGCATGGATGTAATTTCAGAAAGCCTTTGATAAGGTGCCACATAAGAGGCTCATTAAAAAATGATCTCTAGATGTGGGATACAAGTCTGCTCTTTGGGTTGAAAAATGTCTGGATGAAAGAAATCAGAGGGTTGTTATAAATGGAGTTCAGTCAAACTGGATTAATGCCACAAATGGGGTACCTCAGGGCTCAGTCTCAGCACCTTTGCTACTCTGGATTTACATCAATGACATAGTTGAAGGAGTGTTCGATAAATTACTTAAACATGCTGATGATCCCGAGATCTTGGGTGTTGTTGGCTATTAGGAATATGCTGCTGCTTTGCAAAATGATTTAGATCATTTGGTGAATTGAGAAAATATATATAATACATTATAATTACAATAAATACAAGAAAATATTTAATGATGGGAATGGTAGAACTAGGGAACACATACATTAATTTTAGATGGGTAGGAGTCATCTTCAGCTAAGATAGTCATATTTTTCTAACAGAGTAGTTGGCCAATGGAATGGGTTGCCTTCTGATGTGGTGAAAGCATTGTAAATGTAAAGGAGGTTGAGGGAAGGCTTGATAAATATTTGAATGGGCTAACTGAGTTTTTTTTTCAATAGTTTAGTTTACTGGTTTGGACAGCCTAGATAATAATCTCATACTAGATAAAACACAGCACTGTCATTTCCAAGCCACATAAACAGGAGTGTACTCTGAACACAAATTAAGGTTGCATATTTTTGTACCATGAATTTATGACTTTGCTGCACAAAAACTTCTAGATTACTTGGCTCATTCTACTAAGTTACCAAACAACCCACAGTCCAACAAAGTATCAAATAATATATAAGGGTTATTATTACTTGCCTTGTACTATATTTAGGCATATACCTAAACTAAAAATAGTAACATCAGTAGTAACAAAATAATATAGGTGTTCTAATGTTAATCAGTAAGCCTAGGTATTAATTTTGTCAATACTGATGAAGTTGTAGATGTAAGCTATATAACACTTCCTAGCTGACATTCTAATTCAATGCATGGAGAAGATGGAGTAGCATAAATAGGGGGTTGAGGCCTGTCCTAACACCAATAAGGGTACATGCCAGGTTTAGCTAAGATTGATACAACAGCATGGGATGATTTGGCAGAGAATAGCTATGTGCAAATGCTTGACACTAGGTGCTTCATTTAAACAATGTTTTAGATACTTTTGTTTGGAATTGGTCAACTTAAGTATCAGCTGTTATGAAGATTAACAGTAATGTTATACTCAGGGTCTTTCTGACTGAGCAATGTCTTACACAACACACAAGTTCGTGGTATCATCTCCAAATGATGTCACAAATGAAATGTGTGGCTGCACACATATATATACGTCACATACACTCAGATCAGACAAACAATGCATTTGTTAACACTATAGTAGTCACGACTACAAGACATGAAAATACCCAAAGTTAATTGTATTACTTTAATAGAAAATATTTCTATTGCTAACCTTTTTAAAAATGTATTGGATCATTGAATTACTCAACTAAAACAAAACAAAGGTGGTACAAAACTTGACTTAGTGAAACAGGAAGCATAAATCTATGTTTGATTCCTACTGCTACATCGAATGTTATTATTAAATAAAAATATTATACATGGTTGGTCTTCAACAAATAATGTTAAATTATATAGTATGGAATTAATTTGTCAGACAATAATGAATTGTCTTCAATATGGAAAATCTTTGCTGTAAGTATGGCGACTAGGTTCTACCCAATAAAATTACAAAACTCATTTTACATTAAAACAAAAAGACCAAGATATTTTCATTGGAATTGACAACAGAAAGTAAATTTATGCACTCAGCAAGGAAAATCAGAAGACCAGTCTCCAATGGCTAGAGAAATTTTCCATCTACTCTCATTCCAAGACTGACATATACTTTTACCTGAAGGAATCATACTCATTGAAACATCTTTGTAAAGACACAGACTGCAGTGACTGTGAACAAAATGAAGATAAAAGTCAATCACTCGTAATTTTAACACAGATAAACCTTTAACAACGGGACAAATATGTTTTGAAAGTGGACATGTTAAAGATATACAAGACTGTTCTTTCCTGGAATAAAGGTATACACTGGTAAAAATTCCACAAGCACTTCCCTAGGCTTCCTATCTTAGTTATTTGTTGTAAAAAGACTGAAAATAGTTATTGAAACTATCTCTTAGCCTCTTAATCTCGGAGAAAAGAACTATGCTGATGTGAACAGTTTTATCACAGATCTTCAAGTGTTGTCTGCATCTTTAGAAAAACCAACTATGATGAAAACCAGAATTTTGAAATAAGTAATGAGAGAACTAATATTCTCCACAAAGTTATTTGTATTCAATATTTCATCTGCAATTCACGGTAATGTTTGTATGGTGGAAAACAGTGAATGCATATTGTTTAAGTTTATTAGAATTAAAATTGTAGCATGAATACTCTGTTAGCTACACAAAGGTTGAAACAGAAACAAATACATACAGGCTAATGTAGCATCAATCAAAAATTTTAAAGTGATAAGTATTGGCTTTTAGACAAAAAATATCCAGTGTGGAGTTTCTCCAGATGGATTAGTGTATGACCCAAATATGGTGTCAATAGAAGCCAACTATGGTTTAGTTGAGATTACATATCTACTAGTATTGAAAATTTTCCAATCAAACATTGTTAAAGAAACTTAACTGAAAAGCAGTTTTAGGTTTTGGAAAGGGTATAACAGTAACGGACAGAAAATGTGCATAAACCAAATAAAAGTGCTTTCCCATTACGTATGTTCATTAAAAGCAGAAAAAACATCAAATATCAAAAACTTGAAATAGAAGACATGTTGACTACCCTTTCGAACAAGCAATCTCTTGTCCAATGCTACTTACTATGACTTGCAGAATAGCTGATTATGTCACTCACTAAAAACAGAAACATGGTATTATCTAAAGACAAACAACACTATTGGCAAGGACAGTCTATGGAGTTTCTAAAATTCAGTATTCCTTAGAACTTTTAAGATGGAAATGCTTAGCACATCTTTGGGTATTGAAACCCGATTATTAGCCTTATAAGCCCACTGAGCAACCAAGAGGGCAAGATTTTTTACTTATAATCAGTTCATATTAATATATTACAATCACTATCACTGAAAAACAAAATTGGTGCAATGTACTTGGAATTTACAGATAAAGTTCCTAAAGTGACTGAAAATGATGTTTTCTAACATGAAAAGCATTACACAAGAGACAGTCATTAAAAGAGAAATGAAATTAATTTAACAGGACAGTTTTCTATAGCTTTTGTTGCAAAATCTTGTTAAAGTATGACAGATTAAAAATAGATAAAGCACCACAGTCAATCAAGTTCTCCCCATGGTTTTAAAGGAGGTCAAAGCCCAGATATGCAATCCTCTTCATTTTTGTTACGTTAACAGATTTGCTTGTTATTCCTATTTTAAAATGGTTTGATAATTACTCTAGAAGTTATACGCCAAACTGCTCTTGCTTCTGTAGTGGAAAAAACCCACAAAAAACTAGACATTGTCAGCTACTACTACTACTGTTTTACCATTATCAATTTTAATCTCTCAATCTTTCGACTTATCACCATGGAATTACTGCTTGCATGATTTAAGTCGAGAGTTAGAAATACTAGAACTACAAGTAAAATGCTCAGACAGGGCCAAGAATATCGTTAATCTTCTCTTCTAAGAACATTATAAATTAAAACTTTGCCAAAACATTGTTATTAGCATCCCTTACGGACCAAATCCCCATAATAACATTTTTTTCCCACAGAATTCTGTAATGTGAGCTAAGAAATCTGAAACATCCACATGTAATTTTAATCAGTAATGTTAACCACGTGCTTTCTCGGCTGTTAAGTTTAACATTAGGCTTAACACACGACGGCGTTCATTAGAAAACTTGTTTAATTAAAGGCAACAAAAAGAATCCAGTTAAAAATTCTAAAAACACCTTCAAACAAAACTTTTTTCCAAAATTACAGTTTCAAAATGTATTCCCACATTTATTAATACTAAATTTAATACATATTATAACAAATTTTTCTAACATTCTGCTATATTTCCTAGTTCCTACCATGATATATTGCTTCCACCATTAAGCATAAAAATAAAGAGGGAGATTTGCATCGTGAAGAACCACCACATACGCTGAAAGTAGTTCAGTGGTCGCATAAAAAGAAAGACTGAAAGATATATATATATATATATATATATATGTTTAAGTATTTAAAACATATTATTTTACTTATGAAAATTGATATCGAAATAAAGGAAAAACTGTAAAATTTCTTTAAACTCATGTATAACTATATTTTGTTGCGTATGTACAGGAGAAAACGTGTTAGTGATATTCAAAGAAAGGAGCCATTTAAAAATTACCTCAATTATTTTAATAACTGAGTTTGTATGAAAGTCAAAATTACAAGTCATATCATGGATACCACGTTTTGTTTTGTCTTTGTTTTACAGTTGAAAATGAATGTGTGTTAGAAGTAAGTTATAAGGGTAGGTTTAACTGTTACTATTGTATTGCTAGAACTATAAGAAATAAAATATATGACTTTAGAGCAGTGGTAGGAATGGCGGACTTTGATATAATGGGAATAACTGAAACGGACATTATTTTGATAACAGAAATTTCTTTGAAATACAGGGTTACATGCTTTTTAATAGGGATAGAGTACTACAGAGAGTAGTGGCTTTATATGTAAAATGTGAGTTACTTCCTTTAGAAGTTTAGGATATCAAAGATATAGCAAGGAAATTTAACCCATTTGGGTTTCTATTAGCGAATATAAAGAGAAAGGGCTTTTAATGGGAATTTGTTACAGACCATCAGATGATAATGATGAAATTAATGAGAAACATTACAGTGAGATTACGATTTCAGCTGTTAATAAGGTCATAATTATGGGTGATTATAATTTCAGGCATATAAATGGGGAAATGCTAGAGTCTAACCATGAGGGAGAAAGGTTTTTAGAGATTGTTCAAGATGGCTTTTTTCACCAATTAGTCAAGGAACCTCCTAAAAACAGTGTTATTTTAGATTCATTGTTGACTTCAAATAGAAAAATGATCGAGAGGGTGGAAGTTTGGGAACATTTTGGTGCAAGTGATCATTGCTCTATTAGGTTAAATATTTTGCTGCATATGGAGATAAGGAATAATGATACTTTAGTTACAAATTTCGAAAAGATGCGACAAGAATTATACAGGCCTGCGATGATTTTATTGTCTTCAAATGTTATACGGTCATTTCTATACGTTAAATCCGAAAATGATATCCTATTTTCTCCATCACGTACAGATTTTTCAAAAAACGTCATAAAGCAATATATAAAAACAATACCACAACATGTAATTTTAAGACTAAAAGACGTAGATTTCACACACAAAAAATCAGGATGAATGAGAATGCATATTCGTTTGACATCAGTGTTCTTCCCTTTTCATCAGTTTGTTTGTAGTGTTACGTCTCCGTTTGTTAATTGATTTTCCGTAAATTCGTTCCGACGAAACTTTAGCGACACAAGTCCTCTCTTAAATAAAACTGGTTTATTCTTTCCGAATACAACTTTACGATTTTCTTATAGCGCGACTGTTGAAGTTGAGTGTTTATAGTTCACGTCTCACGAGCTCTACTTCAATAATACTTCTCTCTCTCTG